AGCATGAGGCCAAATCTTGATGATGACTCTCCTTTGGCCAGCAGGACGGTGCTAATCAGAGCCACACGGAGGAGCTCTGCTATGTCCTTATCCATCATCACAAGGACCAGGGAAGAAGGCCTTCAGGGACTTCTGCTGAGGTGTACTATGAGAATGTTTCCTGCAAGGCTGAGAGACCCAAAGAGTCTTTGGGAGGAACAGAGACTGAGTACTCACTTCTCCGTGTGCCCTCCACTCCTAGGCAACTCCCTTCCCCAGAAGATGAATATGAGCTTCTCATGCCGAGCACAATCTCCTCTCCCTCCCTAAAACAGCCACACGTACTTCCCTCCCCTTTTGAGACACAGTTTTCCCTTTTACAGTGAAGAAGCTGGACTGGTGTTAATTTAGCACCAGCAGGTAAAAGTGGAAAGTGGGTGTCTCTGCTTGAAGCCAGCCTTAGGCAGGAAGCCCTTCTGTGTACAGTTTGCTAAAGACAAGGGCCTCTAAGATCCTGCTCAACATTCAACATCTGAGAGTCAACCAGTCATCCTGAACAGCACTATTTGAGAAAGGAGTGATCATCCTTGGTTCTAAAAAGAACTGGAAGTACTGTGTGGTGGAAAGAGATTTGTGGTTCCCCTGCAGCTCTGTTCACCACGAAATGTTCTTGGATTCTTACAAAATATCTTCATGATTGTTATCTGAAGGCACAAGGAAGTTTTCTCATTATATCAAGTGACCCGAGGGGGAAGTCACTGATTGCAGTGACTCAGTCCTACTCCCAATGACAGCCTGAGATACTCCTCTGAGGAATGTCCTTGATACAATGTCCTTCGACTCATTGGTTCCTGTGCCTGGGTTGGTTATGGGTTGAACCAGGAGGGTACAGTATAGGTTTTTATAAATCTTTAACCATGTTTTTTTTAAGCTTTATATTTCTCCCCATTAATTTATTTTGGTGGGGAGAGGTAGAGATTGAAACTACATACTAGGCAAGCAAGCTACTACTGAGCTACATCTCAGTCCTCCGCCCCCCCACCCAGTAAACCTTAATAAGACAATCAGTCTCAAAAAGTGATACTGCAGAAAGACCTTTGGAGATCCTTTAATCCCCTCATCTTTTTTTGGACTCAGAGAGACTAATTTGCCCATTGGTATACTAAGTTAATGGCACAACTTTAGCTAAGAGAGTGATTTCCTGGCTTCCGACTCAGTACTCCTCCAACATACTTACAGAAGAGCCTCTTCTTTGTAGTCAATATCTCTATTAAATAGCATGTCATGTATAAAATAGGAATAAGAAGTCTACATGGGAAACAAAACTCACATCTACCCCTTCTCTGATGAGCACGTCTCCTTTGGCCTCGATTACTTATTGTCTCTCTTCTCCTTTTTTTAGTATTTCTAGAATTATGTCTATCCCTAAATCAGGTTCATCACACTGTGGCCCACTAACCGAATCTGTCCCATCACCTATTTTTGTAAATAATGTTTTATTGAGACACAGCCACACTTATTTCTTTGCATTGTCTGCTCAACCATGGAGGAGAGTTGAGTAGTTGTGACATAGACCACAGACCCTGAAAAGTCAAAAATATTAATGTTTTGTCCATTTATAGTTTTAAAAAAAATTGCAGACCTCTGCCCTACATGATCATATTTGAGATTAACTTAACAGGAATATGTTTGGTTATTGATGTAACTCATAAGAGTAGTACCAATAAAATGATATGAAAATATTAAACCACAAATGAGATGAGTGAGACCAAGAAAATTAGCAAATTAGGCTATTTCTATATTCACACCTGTGTCCTCCACTTGCTGTTTTGTTTTACTCATGGCCATTGTCCTAATTTTGGAGAAGTTAAAATAGTAAATGGTTTGTTGAAACAAACAGTAGATACATTATATGTTTCATTATTGTTTTGTTCTCAAAGCTAACCCAAGCTCAACTCTGCTGTTTAAAACATGGCAAGTGCCCAATGAGGAGAAATCCAGTGGCTTGAGGCTAGGTGATCAACGCAGGCTTGCTGGGCTTTCAGCCAGCTGATGGTCTGCAGCTAAGAGTCAATCACATCCTGACATCTTCGCTTCTGCTAGTCTCCTACTTTTAGCAAAATTCTTTCCCAGGTAACCCTAACTTGGATCTCTGGCTGGAGTTCACTCAGGTTTGAAAGGAGGTGTTCGTGGTAGCAGAGAACACTGTGCAAGGTGTAACGCGGCTGGGGGAAGAGTATGGACCCAAGACAGACAACCAGTGGTTCAAATCCTGGTTCTTTCTCTTCCTCTTCTGTGACCTTGAGTCTGTTACCCAGATGCTCAGGTTTTTCACTCACTTGGGAGGATTTACATTTAATATAGTAAGCAGAACCTCTATCATAAACCCCGAATAGAAATCATATCAAAAAGTAAGGAGAAACAGAAATCTTTTATGATGTATGGAGAAGAGCATGTTGATACATCTGGTGATCCAGGGCCACACAGGGACTTTCCAGCAAGGCAAAAACAACAAACTGATGGGTTTTTGCTGGGATTTTTTTTACATGGATATGAAACCACTATGGAATTTGGTTGGTTGATATATTCTTAGTACAAAATGGTAACCTATACGTGTTTGAGTCTTATACTGTCCCAAACAGTATTTGCCTCCCCTCAGGACCACATTAAGTATATATTCCTAGCCAAAAAGAAAAAAAGAAGAAGAAAAAGTTGTTCTTATACTGAAATTAGAAGGATTGTAAAAGGAAATTATTATGTGCTAGAGAACCACTTTGACGTGTTTTGAAATACCCACAATGATGTATGCAATGTTATTTGTCAATCAGAAATAATAAAAATAACTTATTTTTATTATTTAAGGAATGAGTTTAGTACACTTCATGTCCTTCGACTCATTGGTTCCTGTGCCTGGGATGGTTATGGGTTGAACCAGGAGGGTACAATATAGATTTTTAAATATATATTTAACCATTTTTTAAGCTTTATATTTCTCCCCATTAATTTATTTTGGTGGGGAGAGCTAGGGATTATAACTAGAATATCTCAATTTTTCTAATAAAATTGAATGTTGAAAAAACCCTATATGTCTGTATGTAATGCTGATCCTATTTTCCAGAGATTTCTAGATTTCTGATGAAAGCTGTATACTCTATTGGTGGAAAATACATACATACACACACACACATACACACACACACACACACACACACACATTTGTATACAATCTCATTGGGTTGAGGATGAACTCCTTAGTTAAGCAATCTGTGTTCTTGATAGAGACCCCCGGGGTGGAGCATTTACTCTCCCATGTCATAAATATAACCAGAAAACCCCCCATCCCCTGCGCTGGGCTTCAAAGAGTACATGGCCAAAATCCAGAGGTACAATATCCAGCAACAGCAGGCTCTGTGGTCCCCATTTACATTCGTATGAGCCTCTATAAATAATCTCTCACTCTGAAAAACTTATTTGGGACAAAAGACATAAATGGGAAAGGGGCAAAGATAGGGCAGGAAATCTGTTGAGAAGTTCAAAGGTTGACACTTTTAGGACAAGCAATTTTAGGATGACGGGTAGTTCGAATCTTCTCAGAGATGAAAGGGCACAGGCAGAAGAGAAGCGACAAGTCTCTATGACTCCAGGAGGGCCTTCAGGGAAAAGGAGGTTCTGTTTTTCCATGTGTCTGACTGTTCTTTTCTAAGCCTAGACTCTTAAGTGCAGACCGACAACTTGGTCTGATGATGCTCTGCTTCTGCCAATTGTTGAATGAATCTCCCCCACTTTCTAGAGGGCACTTTAGCAAGTGCTTGGGGGAAACACTGTGTGGAGGTTGTCGTCATTGAGTCTCCTACAGCCGGATAGCCACACCTTTCGATTTATCTTTCCCGGACCATTTGTGCTCCTCATAGATCCCAGATGTCAACCCAAACCAGCACTGAACATGACTTTGGGGCACCCACCAGGGTTGGTGGCCAGTCACCATGTGTGGTGAATGGACTAGGCTTTGCCCACAAGGAATAATGGGACAATGGGCTGGTCCTCCTGGCTCTTCAGGTCTTGGTTTCCCAGGTGTAAGATGAGGGTGTTCCCTTTCGATGTTAAAAGTCAATGATTTCTAATCATATAGAAAACATTAAAATCTGTCTATGGATAAAACTATCCGCAACATTGTGAATTACCTTATTAAAAAGCAATAAAACAGTAATGGGAGAGAATGAGAGCCTTTGAGAGATTGATCCCTTTTTTCTTTTCATGGATCGTACTCTGAATAGGGCAGGAGTTTATATCAAGAATCCACATATAAAAGGAAAAGGAGAGAATGTGAACTGCATCCTAAGAAGATACAGACATGTGCTAAAGAGGGCAATTATTCAAATCCCACCAGTGCTTCAGGGTTCAGCTGGAACTTCCTTCTTGTATGCAAAACCTGCTCCAACTGAATTACACTGACCTCGCATTTCTCTGAGCACCCATGACTTACATTTTGTCTTTATTTTTCAAATCTGGATATGGAACCTGGGTATCTTCCCCTGCTATTTCCTCTTTCAGATTCTGACTCCCTGATTATATGAACAGCTTCTTTTTCTCATTATTTTCTCCACAGAGAACCTCGATAAAACATATCACTTAAAAAAATAAATAGAAAAAAATTTAAATTGAAAAGCAAAAAATAATTGGACACATGGCTAGAATTTTTGGTGGCAGCAGAGACAGAAGGGATTCTGCTGATCTGGCTGTCTCCTTTCTATGCATATCTAGGTGACTTCTGAAAAAGAGCAGAAATTCAAACCCTCCAATTATTTTGCAGATACTTATTGAAACCTCTTCCTGTGCTGAATGGAACACACAGAGAAGAATTCTGCCTACCCCAGTCCAAACAGCTCCATCTTATAGAGGAAGAGGAAGCTGCCCTTGGGAACATGAAAAATCACTTCTGACCCCATTTACTGCAAGAAAATGCCAGTCCAAAGCATGACCCTGGAGAGACAACACTCATGAGACAAATCTGAGCACAAAAATTCAGATGCAAAAATAATTTATTGTAAATGTTTTTAAATCATTCTCCATTATATTCCAAAAAGTACAAATACACTAAAAGATTCACGTTTGACATGTAAAAAATAAAGAGGAAGAAGAAAAATTCACTAATTTAAGGAACTATCCTTATAATGAAACAATGAGTTGTAATACATGTGTCTTCTAGTTAAATAAAAAAGCAAATTCACATTATCCAGAATCCTGGCTCATAACAAGCTCAAGTCACTCTGGCATGCACCCATACATAGCAGTCCCTCACAGACTTCCACCTGTGGCAGCTAAAACACTGAGATACTGCAGCTAAAATATCTCCTTATAGGACCACACAACTGTTTCTCCTGGAAAATGTGTACAAAGGTATTTTTCTCCCAAAACAAATATTCTATACCTTCACAACAGGCAATTCTATATCCATTGAAGACTGATACAGTCCCTAACATTCCTCCTGCCCTCAAATGACAGACATAAGCTCTCAACAATTTATGCCAAAGGGACATTAGTTCTTCCTGTTTCACAGCCATTGGAGATAAAGACACACAATCAATGCCTCAAAACACCAAGTCCCCCACAAGAAGGCCAGTAACACGGGTAATACAAAGCACATGTGTGGTATCCACAGCAGAAGTTAAGCAATCTTGACGGTTATTTGATGGAAGTTTATAAAAATATAAAGGAGTGACAATGCAAAATGATGGTCACATGTTCAAAACCCACAAGGACTCATGTTTCCACAAGAGGTGTTTAGGAGTCACAGGAAGAAGGAGATGTCAAATAATTAGTAATCCCTTTCGTATTTCTGTGACTGTGTATGTAAAAGTAACACTGGATGATGTGCTTAAGGCTGGTTTGCTAAGATACCCAGATATTCTGTAAAGGTGGGAAGAGTTGGAGATTTCAAAGACCAATTGGTTGAGTTCTCCCTTGCCTGGAAACTCGATTCTCCCTGCCCCAACACAGGCTGACAGGAACCTGTCTAAAACAAAGCACTACACCACCCTTGTGCTAAAGAGAAAGTATCCACACATGGGTAAAGAGAGCCAGAGCCTCAAGAACTGCAGCGCCCACACATCAAGTGACCTGCCCCCACCCAACCCTCCCACCCATCTGACTTCCTGCTTCCTCAAGACTTGACCCAAGTGGGTCAGCGCTTGGGAGCTGCCTTGCTGGGTGTGGAGTCAGACTTCCTATCTGTGCAGAATCAGGAGGAAGGACAGTCTGGTCATTGTCACAGGATCTTTCCTGTAAAAGAGAATGAGTTCTTTTCTCTCCAAAAACTCAAGAGGAGCACCTTCTGACAGACCAGCCTCAACCACTTCATTCTGAAAAGAAAACACAGAAGAACAAGTCGTTACTTCTAAAAAACAAGATTATTTTAAACATTAATGGGTTTTTTTTTTCCCCTTCTGGTTTCATTGAGTTTGAAAATAAAATTTTAGGTAAAATTGAAATGTGTATCATTTCTGAACAGAGAATGTTCACTCTCCAGTCGGCATACATGCGTGTGTGTGCACACACACCACCCTGGACACTTTCCCAAAGGTAAATAACATTTATTGTCTACTTTTTTGGTTTTGATATAAATCATGATAAATAACATTTTGAAGCAACATTTTGGATACTGAAGATATCTTACTGTTTGGCTATTTTCTTGTACTCTAACCATAAGAACATCTCCAAAGGGTCAACGTTTTGAATCATGTTCCAGAGAGGAAAATGATGGGACTTGGCTGAGCTGGAGGTGCTGATGGAGACCCTGGCAGAACACACAGACAGCTCCTGTGCTCAACAGCATGGTTCTCTTCATGGTTTATTTTTTCTGTAACTTTTCCCAACTATGCTGTCAGCTTATGGAGGGCAGGGACTGACCTCCATCCACAATGTGGAACATTCCCGCACAGAAGCAATACCAGCTGCGTGGAGGAGTGAATGGATGGGTGGTTTGTACACAACAAGCTACTACAAGCCAAACCAAATTCACCTGCCCCCAAACTGTTCACCTACCATACCGATTCTGACTTCTTTTCTACTTACCATAGAGCAAGAGAGATGCTGGATCAAGCCCCAGACTCTCACAATGAGGTACACTCTGATCATAGAAATCCTGTAGCAAAACTCCCAGTACAAGCTCCTCACTCATCATGTACTTCATAAAGCCGTCATCTTCCCATGGAACCCCAAACTGCAGGTGATAGGTTGCTGTGGCGTTTTCACCACTGAAAGCCAAACCAGAGACAGTAAGACACAAGCAGAATCATACTGAAATTCGGGAAATCCATCTTATCAACAATATGTGTTTAGTTCTTCATCTTCTTCCTCTAAACAATAGCAAAGGGTGTACTGTCAGTCCTGAGAGAATGTACTATACTAGAAAAATCTTCCCTAGACCCATCACAGAAAGTGTGATACCCAAAGGACTTAAAATTAGCATACTATAGTGGCACAGCTACATCAGTGTTTACAGCAGCTCGATTCACAATAGCTAAACTGTGGAAGCAACCTAGATGCCCTTCAGTAGATGAATGGATAAAGAAACTGTGGTATATATACACAAAGGAATATTATTCAACATTAAAAGAGAATAAAATTGTGACATTTGGTAAATGGATTAGGTAAATCGATGGAGTTGGAGAATATCATGCTAAGCAAAGTAAGCCAATCCCCCAAAACCAAAAGGCAGAATGTTCTCTCTGACAAGTGAATGCTGAACCATAATGGGGGGGGGGGCGGGAGAGGGTGTGAGGTGTAGAATGGAACTTTGATTGGGCAAAGGGGAGGGAGAGGAGAGGAGTAGGCCTGGGGGTAGGAAAGATGGTGGAATGAAATGAACATCATTACCCTAAGCACATGTATGACTGCTCATATGGTGTGACTCTACATTGTGTGCAACCAGAGAAATGAAAAGCTGTGCTCCATTTGTGTATAATGAATCAAAATGCATTCTGCTGTCATGTATAACTAATTAGAACAAATTTAAAAAAAAAAAAAAGAAAAAGAAAATGTGATCACAGCCTCCTCCCTCTACCTAGTACTCATCCCTCAGAGTTCACTGGCAGAAGCCATTGAAGGGAGAGATACAGCCTACAGTTAAAGAATATGGCATGCTGGCATGTCCTCTGTCCCAACAGCAGTCTTCCACCCTCTGAGGCAAGTCAGGAAGCTTGGTCTCCACTCCTTGCGTACTTCCACCTGCCCATTCTCAATGCTACCCCCGAAAGTGAGGGTTAGAGTTATTCAGTTTAACATGCTCTTTATTAAACTTATAAAAGTGTTTAAGGTAAGGCCCATAGCTACCTACCATTGGCTGAGTGCAGGACCCCTGAACCACTAGGCTGCCTTGTGCACCAGCAGAGAACCACACCGCCTGTGTTTGTCCCCAAAGTTGGATTATTTTTTTTTTCTGTTCCTTTTTCAGTTCCAGAGACCCCCTAAAGCAGGATGACCAAGATTTCCTGAGGAAACTCCAATGAAGAGGAAATCCTAATGCTTTCATCTTCCTAGAACATATTTTTCCCATTTTCAGAATAAAATTAATCATAGGTCTATCCTCAGTTAATTAGTAGCTTATGCTGCTCTTTGACTCTGATTCAACATTTAGGGTTTTCACAGTTATTCTAATTGTTTGGTTCACGATGACCTACATTATGCAATAAAATAATTAGTAGGTGGTCACAGCTGAGACTACTACTCTAGTACAAGTTTAAAGACATTCAAGTCCCACCAGCATGAATCAGCTACCGTCCTTGCTAAGGACAGGCAGAGAGCTCCCTCTTGTGGCCAGAAGTTAAACCAGCCAATAATTGAAACATTTCACAAAGTGGCTGACAATTCAGTCTGTAAACTCTACTATGGCCAAGTAGAGCGCCAAACCCTGTAGATGAAATGAATAAGACAGAATTGGAACTCTGAAGAAGCACAGTTTCAAGAGTGTCACTCAAGTCAGGCTGAAATATGCACTTGCAAACTCCAATCCATCTACCCTAATTTGCAGGTGCCATTACTTATCCTCTGATCTCTGCCCTTTAATTATGATTAATGGTGGTCAGCACCTTGACAGAAAGCCACCCTGCAAGCCATGGGCAAGGACTTGGAAGGGCTAATGAAAAAGTCCAGAGGCAGAATTTCAGAAGACCAGCTGAATGAAAATTTGGACTGCCTAAACCAGCCTGGCTAGCCCATCCTCGTCCCCCATGTCAGGCAACTAGGTGAACTTACACTAGGCTGCATTTTGAGGGGAGAATTTTCAAGGAAGCAATGAATCCTGTGAGCTCTGCCCCAGCAGCCCACCCACCTCTGGAGTGCGTCTAGCAGCTGATAAGCCAAAGGGCATTTTCCAGATGCCTGCTGGATCAACCTTGACTGAGGTCAGGAAACCCCAGAGACATGAATACCCAAGGCAGGGAAGTGCCGTCTCTTGCCTGTATGCAATAGCGTCCTTTTAGAAGCAATGGCTTTTGTGTCTCATTTCAACATTTTAGAAACTTTTCCTGGCTTTAGAAAAAAACAAACATGCTTTTCAAAGATAATTTTTTTAATCTAAAATACAAAAATACTTAACTTTTTTCCCCCAAACAACTTTATTTCTTTTCTTTTATTTTTTTTCAAATTAGTTATACCCCAGATAATGTTCAATGACAGATTCTCTAACACCAAGTCTTGGCTAGATTTCAGGTCATGTTTTACTCGATTTTTTGATGGGTTTTTCCCACTGTCTATCTTTACTCTGATTATATGGTCCCAGCTCCTCTGGACCCATAACATAGAGCTAGATTCCTGAAGGCTGTGTGAGGGTCTTTTCTCTCCCAGCGTTGCTTCAATCTTTGAATTGCAAGTGGGGTCAAGGGGATGGAGGAAAGCATGCTGGGTCTGATTATATATCTCTCCCTTTTCTATTGGCATTTAGTACCAGTGGTTTATAATTAAAGGGAACAATGTCAAGGATGGCAACATTAGGCAGCATGTGACAATTAAGAAGGAGAGAAGGCAGTCTGACACCACCTAGGTTTGCATACTTCAGATCCATTTTGGCCCAACCCCATGGTGTTACCACTGGCTTTAGATGCTTCCTCTCCCAGGTATCCTAATATTACAGTTTGGAAAATGTCTGGTTTTAGGGGGAGATCTCAGTATGTAATATATCCTTTGATGGTCACATCCCAGAGACATCTCAGGAACAGAAGACAATAAAGCTTTGCTAAGTAAATCTTCTTCAAATTATTTCCAATAGTCTTAATGATATAAAGTCCTAGTAAAATGACCTCTACGAACCTAGACCCTTTTGACTACATTCCAAGCATATTAAAGATCAGTGGGAAATTGAAAAATAAAAAAAAGTGTATACACATGTGTAGTATATGTAATAAATACACATGCATAAGAAAGCACAACAAACTATTAATAGTGGCTAATTTCGTAGAAGGGGGTATGATCAATTATTGGTAGTAGCGCAGGAGAAAAGAGGCATAGGTTGACTTATCCTGTAAAAGTTATGTTTTTAAATTACACAAGGAGAATCTGCTCCTGTATTGTGCACTTCAAAGGAGAAATCCGGCATATGGATTATATAATTTCCATCACATCACTATCTGAGATCTATTTCTCTTTCCACTCTTAATTTACTTGTGCATCCACTTTTAAGTAGAAATGGTTTACCTGGGACTGGTTTTTCCCCTCTCCTTGTGACCTAGTTGAGTTACATAATTAATCTGGGCTTCCTTTTTCTCGTTTGTAAAATTAAAGAATTGAGCTAGTTGATGCCCAAGGAAGTTGTGACACTTGGAGATTCTGTTATTGGTTCCCTTCCTGCTCTGAGGCTGAGGGAAGTCCTCGTAGGTACAGGGTACCCGGGGTGAGCCAGGGAGGCAAGAGAAAGAGATCATAATGTTATGCTGCACACTCTTACCTGAAGTCCACTATTTCAACTGATGTGAAATAACGACTCAGAGATGGAGATTTACTGTACACATCTTCAAGCTAATCAAACAGAAAAAAAAAATAATAATAACATTATTGATGATTATCTTCCACATCACTGGACAAAACAAGACTACCTCTAGATGAGAGATTCCACCCTAGGAATCAACCTATCTGGGCTGAGAAAGGGAAGGTGTTAGCCTATCACGAACAAAGGCTGAAGTTAGCACTCACTTAAAAGAGCCTCGTTGACCAGGCCCAAGTGACTCCGCTGGAATTCTCAACTCCTCTCATGAGCAGTGATGACATCCTATGGCCTGATTGATGAGGACGGTCACAGCAGGAGCCCACACAGTCCCCAAGGACCATGGGAAAGAGAGAAAATCCCAAGGTGGGATTGGGGGTGCATCAGCATGGGCCACTCAGCACTGGGAATGTCACTGGCCAAGGGCTTCTTTCTCCCTTCTGCAGAGCTACATTGCAAGGAGCAATGGCTGTGATGGGCCACAGGTGTAGCACTGCCCCCTGCACAAAGGGATAAATCGGGGAGTGGCAAAGATACGGAGGTTTTATTTTATACGTGAAATACAGCAAACATGAGAAAAATTTCTGACCTGTGTCTCACCTCCTAGATCTTATGCCTTATATTGTGCTACACAGATGCCCCTTAATTTATGAGGGGCTTCTATCCTGATAAAATCCATTGTAAGCTGAAAATATAAAAAGTAAAAAATGCATTTAGTACACCTATACAAAGCTGAGCCTTGTCTACCTGCACTGTTCTCAGAACACTCAGATTGGCCTGCAGTTGGGCAGAATCATCTAACACATGTCTATTGTATAAGAAAGTGTTGAATGTCTCATAGAATTAATTGAATACTATTCTGAGAGTGAAAAACAGAATGGGTGTATGAGCGTGCTTGCACACCATCATAGTAATCGGAAGAGAAACCATTGTAAATTAGGGACTGTCATTATTGAGTTCAGACCTTTATTTTGGGAAACAAAATAGGGCTAAAGTGACTTCTACACCCTATTCAATCTTTCCCTCCTCTCTCCCCTAGTGCTAAAGACAATCCTGACAATTTTTCCTTGCATGTTTCTTTAAATTAGTACTTCCTTACATCCTTATGTAATAAGAATATACGATTTAATTTGTGCTTTTATTCGAATAAGAAGAGGAACCATATTCTATACAATCTTCTAAGATCTGATTCCTCCTACCCCTTTGTTGGTATGGAACTCAGGGCCTCAAGCAAATGCTCTGCCACTGAGCTACACCCCAGCCCTGATTTGTTTTTGTTTTTTTTTTTTTGTTTGTTTGTTTGTTTGTTTTAAGATGTGTTCTCTCTCTATTGCCCAGTCTGATCTCAAACTCAAGTGATCCTCCTACTTCAGTTCCAGAGTAGCTGGAACTACAGGTGTGCACCACCACACCCAGCTTAAAACTTGCTTTTTATTTTCTTTTATTTTTTTCCACAAAAAAAAATTTACATTTGAGATTTATTTGTCAGGTACATCTCAATGAAGGCATTTAGTCTAACTCCTAGGTAGATTCCATCACAGGATTATACCAATGTATCTGTTCTACTGATGGTCATGTGCATTGCTTCTGATTTTTTCCCTTATTACAAAGTATGCTGAAGCAATTGTCCTTAAACATTTCTGTTCATCTCTCTTTGTACATGTAAGGCATGCCCAGCTGCACATGTAATAGTTTCTCTGGGCTATATACCAAGAAATGGAATTGCTGGATCGAAATAAATCTTGCCAAATTGCTTTCATTTTACTCTTCTCCCCGCAATGTATACATGATTCCTTTCCCACATTCTTTCCAAACTTTTAAATTTTTCCAATTTAAGGAATAAAAAATTGTGTTTCATATTGTGTATTCTCTTTTTCTTACTAATGAGTCTGTTTTCCTGTGTTTCACTCTGAATTGCTCATTAGTCAGTTTCTTTTCCCATCTCTTTCTTGTCTCCCTAAAGTGGCTAGTTTTATGTTATGGATACGTGCTGTTGATAGTATGTTACAGAATCTTTTCCCAGGCTTTGATTAGTCTTTTCATCATGTATCAGAGATACTAATCCTAATCTCACAATTAGGAGAACATGCAGCTGAACCCATGTACCTTGCATTCCTTCTAAATTTACACTGGAAGGTTAAACACCTTGGTCTCTAGCAGATTAGTTCTAACATAAATCAGGACTGTACTGAAGTCTGGCTACACTCCCGGCAGGCACCTGCCCCTGGGGTTGGAGTGAGACTACAGCCAAGTATCTAAGAGCACCACCAGACCCTCTCCTCCCAGCCTGATTTCAGCACAGGCATTGTTTGGGAAATCTCACCAGCATCTAGTGGTACATCTGTTGCCCAGCTGCACCGTTAAGACTCAGTACCTGTTACTTTATCCAATAACAAGCATCGGAAGACACAAAACAGCTGTGCCCAATCGGGAGCTCACAGGTCTTCTATCCAATTCCGGTGGGATCACAAGGAGGCTGTGCTTCACAGCACTCTCCCATCTAATTCACACGGTGACAACTCAGTCGCTCATTAAGCAAAGCACAGATTAGAACATTTGCAGTGCGTTGTTTTTAATTTTTTTTAAATTAGAGCTTAATGGTTATACATAGCAGTTGGGTTCATCCCATCAAACTCATACACGATGGAAATGGATTTCAGCTCATGATCCTCCCTTTTCCCTCCCCCTTTTCCTTCCGCCCCCCTTCTTTTGTTTCTCTCACTAGACTTCCTTTCGCTCATCTATTAATTTGTCTTTGATTGGTTCCTCATGTAATCTTACTCTTCCATCCCGCTTTCCTTTATTTTACTCCAGCTTCTGCATATGAGAGAAAACATTCAACCTTTGATTTTCTGAGTTTGGCTTAGCATGATATTTTCTGGCTTAGCGTGATATTTTCTATTTCTGTCCCTTTATGGGAAAATGCCATAATTTCATTCTTTTTATGGCTGAGTAGAGCTCCATTGTGTGCAGAGCTCAACACAATTTCTTAATCCATTCACCTAATGATGGGCATCTGGGTTGATTCCATAATTTAGCTATTGCAAACATTGACTATTTGTATCTTTCTAATCTTGCTAATACTGTCTAATGGTCACATTCCAGAGACATCTCAGGAACAGAAGACAATAAAGCTTTGCCATGTAAATCTTCTTCAAATTATTTCCAAATTATTTATAAGAACCTGACTTAACAGACATTAATACATCTCCCCTTTTTGCAGGTTAAGAAACCAGCCTTCTAAGATATTAAGAAATCAATAGTACCTTCTTACTCTGCTAGCGAATGGTAAAGGCAAAATTCAATTGTATGGGCAGACACAAAATCTCAGCTTTGCCCCATTTGACCTCACTACTCAGAGAGACTGAAGCAATGTAGGAGAGTGGCTCCTGAATATCAGGGTGGGAAGAAACGATGCCCTAGTGTCACGGGGAATGGTTCTGGAGCTCACAGGAGGTGGCTGTTGAGCCAGTCATCAGAAAACTCGGGAACTAGGAAAGCAGCTTTAGCGGGGATGCTAAATAGAATGAAAGACAGGAGGAGAGTGAGGTTGCTATAAAGCACTAAAAATATTCGCAATATTAAACAATTATAATGTTTCTTCCTTTTGGATTGAGTTTCCTATGAGAAGGGTTACGTCATCATTTCTTCCAGTTTTCTTTGTTCTCTCTCCCCACCACCTCCTTCCTATGCTAATTTCTAGAGTCTAGTACTATGCTTTGTTCATAGTAGACTCCTACAATTTTTTTGTACTGGGAATTGAACCCAGGGGCTCTTTACCACTGAGCCACAACCCCAGTCCTTTCACTTTTTTTTTTTTTTTTTTTTTTTTTGAGAGAGAGAGAGAATTTCCAACATTTATTTTTTAGTTCTCGGCGGACACAACATCTTTGTTGGTATGTGGTGCTGAGGATCGAACCCGGGCCGCACGCACGCCAGGCGAGCACGCTACCGCTTGAGCCACATCCCCAGCCCCAGTCCTTTCACTTTTTATTTTGAGATAGTCTTACTAAGTTGCTGAGGCTGACCTCCAACTTGTCTCAGCCTCCCAAGTTGCTAGAATTACAGGTGTGCACCACTGTAAAAATTTTTAAGTGTTCTAGCCATCTATTGCTAGTGTTCACACTAAGATTCTTTTTGCGGAGTACAGTCTCCTTCTATATTTAGGGCATATTTACATTTGAGGAGTTGTTAGTTACACTATCCAATCTGGGCCTAAAGAAATGGAATAGGGGCCTCCCTAGCCTTAATTCAAGTGTCCCCCACTCTGTGCCTATGAGGCTTGGTACCAACAGAACTAGGAGACCAGTGAGCTAATTAGGAGAGTCTGACTCCATGGCTAAGAGGAATCACCCCTGGGTGCCTTCTCTAGGTTATTAGAGCACCATTGCTAGTCCCAACCACGCCCAGGAGGATGCAGTGCACCACATGAGCAGCAGGTTGCCTTAAGCAGCATAACAGCCCCAACTTTGAGGGAAGAAAACCGGCAATGGGATATTAGAAGGCCCAGAAAAACTGTTAAGAAAAGCAAGGGCAATGGCATCACTGTCCAACATACTGGGGCATAAAAAAGAATGCAAGTGTGGCATCTGTCCCCAGTTCCTGGCACAGAGTTCCTAAAACCCCATGATGACCTAAGTATTAGGATCCTGGTACATCTCTTATTCTAATCTTTGTTCTTCAGTCTCAGCTCCTAAACACCTTGGAATCTCCTGGGTGGTAGGAGCATCTTCTGTTCTAGTGAGGTGACTCTTGGTGAGCATCTGATTGGAGGCAGGTCACCAGAAACACCAAGCCAGGGTAAAAGCTTGGAACTCTCAGTACCTTCCCCACCATATGGACAGAGTAGGGCTAAAGAGTGATTAAATAATCCATTATGCCTGTGTGTCGAAGACTCCATAAAGATCCCTAAAGCCCAGGGTTGGAGAACTTTGGGGCAGTTAAACATCCACATTCTACGAGGGTGGCATGCGGAAGAGGCCAGCTCCACACCTCTTCCCACATAGCTACCCTCCTCTGGCTTTTAATCTGTATT